CTAGAGGGCAGAAACTGCTTTTGCCTTTCTTTGTATTCCTAGAGATTAGCACAATGCCTAACAGGCAGTAGATGCTTTCAGCTGTTCAGTCATTTTTCACAACTCTTCATGACTCCATTTGGGGTTTTCTTGGCAAAGATACTGGAGTGGTGCGCCATTTCCTTCTCCAGTTCATTTTACAGATTGGGAAACTGAATCAAACAGGGTAAAGTGACTGGCCCAGGATCACATGGCTAGTAAGCGTCTGAGGCCAAATTTTAACTCATGAGTCTTCCTGACTTCAGGCCCAGTACTCTGTCCACTGCACCACCTAGCTGCCCTGTAGGTGCTTGAGAAATGCTTTTTGATTAATTAATTGATGCCAAAATAACCTCATTTTTCTGAATCAACAGAGTTATTAGATTATTAGGATCAGAGATCATCAGGATTCTCAAAATGCTACAGATAGCACAGAACAGGACTTCAGGATGGCATCTGACAACATTTCTCATAGTACTTATTCTTGTGGATAAGAAGAAGAGTTGTAGTCCCAATGAGAGTGCAGTTAAGCAGATTTGGAACTAGCTAAGTGACCAGACCCAAAGAGTAGTAATTAACAGATCAGTGATAACTTGAAATAAGGTCCTTAATGAAAAGTAATAGGGGCCAGTCCATTGTGTAATGTGTCTATCAGTGATCCAGATGACGGTATGGCTAACCTGCTTATCAAATCTGAAGATTACTCAAAACTGAAAGGAATGCTATATTAGACACCAACATCAGTATCCCAAAAAGATTTTAACAGGCTGGAACAGCAGGCAGCTACTAACAAGGTAAAATGTAATAGGCAGAAATGCAAATCCAAATGGCATTTGGGTTAAAAAAAATCAGCTGCACAAGTATAGGATGAAAAAAGATATGACTAGCCAACCTCTCATGTGAAAAAGGCCTGGAAATTGAAAGCCAAAGTCAGCACTGTGATGAGACAACCAAAAAATCCAGTGGAATCTTAGACTCTAGTAGTCCTACCGTACTCTGCCCTGGTCAGACCACATGTGGAACACTGCATCCAGTTATGAGCATCACCTTTTAGAAGAAGCATTGAAAACTCAGGGCACATCCAGAGGAGAGCAACCAGAATGATGAGGAGGCTGGAAAATCAGGCCATATCCTGATTTGTCGAGAACCCTGGGCAAGATAAGACCAAGGAGAGACATGATAACTGTCCAAGTGTTTCAAAGACTTTCATGTACAAGATGGATTAGGCTTGTTTTGCTCAGATTTCAATTGAAATTAGGGGAAAACTTCTTTAAAATTGGAGTAGTCCAAGAAAGCAAGACAGTTAGAGTAGAGAGAAGAAGAAGGTTCCCAACTACTCAGGTCCTGAGGTGGGAGTGGGATGACCACTTGAAGGTGATGTGGTAGAGAGGGTTCATCATCTCAGCATCAACTGGACTACATGGCTTTGGAAGTCCTTCCTTTTCAACTCTAAAATTCCATTTGTCATTGTATGAAATGAGAATGTGGGGAGGAAGAGGCCTGAGCTAGCCACATTGAGAACAGTAAGAAGTGAAAGCTGACATCCTGACAGATAGAAAAAACAGAAAACAGACATGAAAACTAATAAAGCCCATAAGTATTGGGCTATTTAGTGACAAATTATCCTCCATATTTCAATCCCCTAGGGTATCACCAGATTACAGTTCAGTACAGTAATAAACATTTATAGGTCGTCTAATTCATCCCCTAGGGTATCACCAATTTACAGTTCAGCACAATAATAAACATTTATAGGTTCTTTAATTCATCAATAAAACAATCTTAAGAGTAAGCTCTTAATACAAAACTTTTGTTATTTAGGGTATAAGTTATAATTATGTGGAAAACGTAAAACTGCAACAGTTCCCTTACCAACAATGTGGGATAAATGAGATCTTATAAATACTACTGGAATGACAAGGAAGGAAATTGATCATTGGAATAGGATATCAGTAGCCCTGAGCTTTAGAGCTAGCTTTGTCCTGGAGTAGCTGTGTAACCTCAGGCCAATTACTTCAACCCTATGGGACCCACTTTCCTCATCCGTAAAAAGCAAGGCCTGAGGGGAAGTACTGGATCAAATGATCTCTTAAGGCCCATTTCAACTGGAGGAGCAGCATGGCCTAATGGGAAGAGCAGGGGCTGTGTGTCAGAAGCTGGGGAGTTTGAGCCCCAGCTGAATGAACTCAGCTTCCTGAGACTCAGCTTTCTCATCTGTAAAAGGGGGATAATAATACTGCCAACTTGCTATTTCACAAAGATATACGGTGAAGAAATCACTCTGTAGAGCTTTAAAAGTGCTAAGGAAATATGAGCTATTCTAATTACAATGATGATTCTAAATTTGCAATATAGGTGACTTCTTAGGTGGCTTATATTCATGTCCTATTGATGGAAAGTACTTATTCTCAAATTAAAACTTAGGGAAATGGAAAATGAGGTGTATCTCTCCTCTATTTATCTTGCCCCACATCCTCCCTCCCGTGCAACCTGGAGGCAGAGAACAGTGAGGATTCAAAGCCCTCTCTGCAGATTAAGCAAGCCTGTGCTGCAGACAGACAGCCCCCCTGGGAAGGCAACTTTGCTCATCTAAGGCCAAAGAAAAACTCTCCTGGGTGAGGATGGGGTGGGGACGAAAGGTCATGGGAGATGTTAATATGAACTGCGTGTCACCAGCCCTCCAGATGAAGCAGCTGAGTCAATTCATTCAGCGAGGCTATCACTGAACACTGGCTATATTTGGTATTCTGGATTTTAATGCCTGCGCCTTATTTGTCTCCAAAATGTCATTTCCCAATCCAAGCCAAACGAACAAATATTTATTAAGTGCTTCTATATGCAAGGCACTGAGTTTGGCACTGGAAATATAAAGGTGAAACGAGGCTAAATCTCAGCTTCTGCTCCCTCAGAAAACCTACAGAAAGATAACTCATATGCCTCCAGCCAAAACTTCAGCCTCACTACCAATGCTGTGAGGACAGAGGCACAAATACTATTGCCCACATTTTGCTGGAGGCGGCTGAGGCTTGAAATGTTTAAGTGACATGCCCATTGTCTCAGAGCTATTAAGTGTTAGAAGCTGGATGCAAACCCAGGGCTTTCACCCAGGGTCCAATGGTCTTTCTATCCCACCAATGGTGCTTGCTCAGAACTCTTCTGGTGGCTCCCTACTGTCTTCAGGCTAAAGTCTAGACTGCTCTGCCTAACATTCAAGATCCTCTACAACTTCTTTTCCTGGCAGTGAGAGCTCTTTACATCTTGGCCCCACCCTACATGTCTAAGCTTCTCTCCCACTATTCCCTCAATGACAAAATCTCTGCCCCAGTCAGGACAATATGCTGCACCTACCCTCACCCCAATATTCAATACTACCTTTACCCTTTTCCTTGCAGTTTTCTGTGCCTGAAATATTGAAATATCCTGTTCACTACATCCAGCCACATTCGGGTTGTTGTTCAGTCATTTCAGGGCTTTTTGAGTTAACATATGTAAAGTGCTTTATAAACCTTCAAGTGTTACATTTTTGTTCGTCGATGAGTCGTTTCAGTACTGTCTGACTCTTCATGACCCCATCTGGGGTTTTCTTGGCAAAGATGCTAGAGTGGTTTGCCATCTCCTTCCCCAACTCATTTTAAAGATGAGGAAACTCAGGCAAACAGGGTGAAAGGACTTGCCCAAAGTCACACAGCCAGGAAGTGTCTGAGACCAGATTTGAACTCAGGAAGAGGAGTCTTCCTGGCTAGAGACCCAGTGCTCTACCCATTGCACAGCCTAGCTGCAAAGTCAATTTTTTCTTGAAGGACAGCTAAGGTTTCACCGTCAGCATAAAGCCTTACCTGTCCATTTCCACCCATGGCAGCCCAGGACAGTGGAGACAATACTGAATCTGAAGCTAGAGGGAATGGGTTTGAATTCTGCAGCCATGGAAGCTTCAGCAAGTCACCCATCTCTTCCCTGTCTCAGTTCCCTCATCTATGACATGAATGGGTTGGACAAGAGGACCTTGGAGGTCCCTGTAAGCTTTAAGTCTCTGATGCTATTGTTCTGTGCCGAGCCTTTCCTTCTCGGACCTTCTCTATAAGTGAAAAGCAACCCGGGAGAAAGATCATGGCATCTGGAGTCAGACAAACTGGGTTTACATCTTCACTCGACACATTTCTTGGGTGGCCTCAGGCGCCACCCTGCGCATCAGTTTTCTCATCTATTTGCTGGACTTTTTATGATGAAAATGCTTTGTAAAAACCTTAAAGCATTATGTAAATATCTTTTTTTTAGTATTGCATATTTAGTATTGGATTATATGCTGCTTTGTCCTATTCTAGCTATTTCACATTAACTCCAGGGAATAATAATAACTAGCATTTGTATAATAATTAAGGTTTATAGGTTTTCTCATCTGATCCTCTCAATAACCCTGGAAGATCAGTGTGATTATTGTCCTCACTTTACAGTTTTACAGCAAGAAGGAATCATAGAGGCTACCTCATTCACCCTCTGCTTGTACAGAGGAGGAAACAAGGGTCCACAGAGGTAAAGTGACCTGGCCTAGGTCATACAATGTGTTCAGAGTATAGTCATGATTTGAAACCACATCTTCTCACTAATAAATCAGTGCTCCTTCCATTATACCATGTGACTGGCCTTGGGGAAGCAGAACTGCTAAAGCATGAAGGATGACCATCTTTAGAAAGGAAGAGTCACAAAACTTGAGGAAAATACTTGCTCGTGGACCCACAGGGAAGAAGTAGAACTGGGATTTAAATCCTTGATCTGCAACCCCAAATCCAAGACTGTGTGTGTGTGTGTGTGTGTGTGTGTGTGTGTGTGTGTGTGTGTGTGTGTGTGTGTGTGTGTGTGTGTTTCACTTAAACGGAGGTATCACGTCACACACTTCTGTCCTTCCTCCCCAACTGTCTGACACAGTGGAGGATATGGGATGAGAGCTCAGTGAATCTCTGATGGTGGACCAACTGGCCTGTTACCTTCAGATCCCGGTGGATGATGGGTGTTTTGCACTGATGTAGGCGGGCAACAGCCTCACAGGTGTCACAGAATATCTGTAGCACTTCATTCTCCGTGAAGCCCGTCTGTAAACGCTGGTTCATCAAGTTCACCACTTGACCTCCTAGCAAAGAAAAGAGGGGAGGCTGACAATTAGAGCCACAAAATTTTCAAGGGGAAAGAGACCTTACAGAAAGATCATCTAGTCCAACCATCTCATGTCATCAAGAAGGAACCTGAGGTCCAGGGAGTGGACATGACTGCCACATGGTTCTCTGAAAAGTCACCCTATGGAACCTAGTTCAATGCTTATCCCACTGCACTGCCTTCTGCAATGAACAAAAAAGACTCCATCCATTTAGACAGACGCTGACAAGCTAAAAAAATAATAGATCTGGAGTAAAGGATGTGCTTGAAGGACCTGGGTTCTAATCCCAGCCTGGCTACTTCTTTTAGGCCCCTAGGCCTTAATTTCTTCCTCTATTAAACTAGGGGGTTCCATTAGATGGTCTCAGAGCCTCCTTCCAGCTCTAAACCTATGAAGCTATGGCACTGTATGTCACAAGGAACAATATGTGTTCTCCTTGGCTTTACCGCCAGCCGTTTGCCCCGTGGAAATGAAATGCCATTAGAAGCACAGCTGGAACTCTTGATTTCCCAGGAACTGTCTCTCATTTTTAGATTATCCAGACCCCCTAGTTATTCCCACTGGTTGCCTTCTGAACATTTCAAGGCTCATTATCCGCTTCACCAAAAAGGAACAGGATAGGAGGAGATGGTGACAGTGGCCAAATTCAGACACAGCTGGGGGGGGTGAAGAATGTCTGACGGAAGTGATTGGAGGCAATAGTTAAAATGAGGTTTGAGAAGGATCTGTGGGTTTTGTTTATATCCATTGTCTTTGCTCATCACGGGTGGAGATAATTGAGAATTGGCTCTGATTATGGATTCATTTCTCAAGCATCTGTCAATGCAAAGTGTAGGTGGTACATAACAGTCATTGCAATGCAAGGCAGCAGCATCGTGGGGAGACTGTGCAGCTGGCGGCTTACAACAGAGGGGCCAGGGAATCAAAACCTCCAAACAATGAGGATGCTAAATGGAGTCTCCCTTCAATTATTCTTCCTATTGGGCTGCTGAGGGAAGGGCACTCTTGTTTTCTTCATGACAGGATCAACTCTCTGTTTAATTCCACAGTTGGCAACATCACCCATGTTACACATACAGATCCTGGAATCTCAGAGTTGGAAACAGCCTCAGACTTCACCCAGTCCAATCTTCTCTCCTCTGCAGAAGTCCCCTCTCCAACATTCCTGACAGGTGCTCAACCCCTTCCAGTGACAGAGATGTGCCCATCAAACAAGGCGGAGCTGGACCAGAAAGGCCTCTGAGGTGTCTTCCAGCTGTCAGGCTATGATTCATGATAAACAGGGCAGTCTCCATTTTTAGACAACTCCCCTAGTGCCAAAGTTCTTCCTAATATTAAGCTAAAATCTGTCTCCCTGATACTAGATAATCATTTGGAGATCATCCAGAGCTCTAGTTACTCCCCCTGACTCTCTTTTAGACAATTCAAGGCTTATTGGCTCCTCCACCAAAAATGAATTAAGGGGAAAAGTGATGAAATTCATCAAATTGAGCTATGGTTTTGAAAAAAATGGTATGATGATAGGGTATCACAGGATCAGAGATTTGAGCTAGAAAGCGCCTCTGAGACCATCTGTCCAACTGCTTTGTTTCACAGAAGAAACTGAGGCCCAGAGAAGGGTGAATTGCCCGAGGTCACAAAACTGGTGAGTCATCCTGCTCACCATTTTTATCAATGATTTGGATGCAGATGTACCAACATTTCGAATGACAGAAAAGCCTAAAAAGGAGTACTAATTGCCTGCTTGACAGAATCAAGATCCCAAAATATCTCAAGGCAAAACTACGATTCAAATCTAGGTTCTGTGATTTCCAACTCAATGCTCTTTCTCTGCCCCCAACATATCCCAATGGTTAAAATGAGGTTTGAGGATTATCTATGGATTTCATTTATGCCTCTTCTACAACATCATAAGGAGGTGGTTATATAGCCTTGGCTTTTAGAATAACAGTAAACTTGCTAGCTTTCAATTTCTAGATATTTCGAACTCCTACCAAAATGAAATCTGGCTCCCCCTAATTCCCATCCATTGCTACTTCTTCTACCCTTGAGTCAAGTGGAATCCTTCTTCCACATGATAGCCCTACAAATACTTAAAGATAGGTGGTTTTTTGCTTTTTTTTTAGGCAATTGGGGTTAAGTGACTTGCCCAGGGTCACACAGCTAGTAAGTATCTGAGACCAGATTTGAACCAAGTCTTCTAAACTCCAGGTCCAGAGCTCTATCCATCCCACTGCCAACCTTTTAAACACAAGGGAGAGAAATTTTCAAACCTAAAATGTGCACACATGCTTTTTCCCCCACTCTGCCTAAATGATAAAGTATCCAATTCCCTCACAATTTTTGTTGCCCATATCAGTCACCCTCTTAAAACGTCATAGAAAGAGCTAAGGCGATCCCTCCAAATTTCTTCTTCACCTTTCAGAATTCCTGGCTCCTTTCAAGGCTCAGTTCAGGTGCCACCTATTACATGAAGCCCTCTTTGGTCCCTCTAGTTGTTCTGCCACATTTCCCATCAGCGATGCTGCTTTCAGACTTCTCTGTCATGGCCTTTCTTCCTCAATGGAAAAATATCATTATCCTGGGAGATTAAATCTGCCTTGATACTCACAGCTCACCAGTAAGTGCCCTCTGCCCTCTGATCGGGCGGACCCTCTGACTAGAGGACAAGGCCATCAGCACCAGTGTCTCCATGGAAGGAGGGGGCTCAGTGTAGTCTTCCTCCATTTCTCACCAACTCCACTCTTGTGGGCTTCTCCATTATGCCCCTCCTCCCCTGGTTTTTCATCTTTTGTGAGCTGTTGTCTTCCTCCATTAGATTGTAAACTCCTTGAGGACAAGGGACTGTCTTTGTTTATATTTGCATTTGAAATCTTAGCACTTAGCACAGTGCCTGGCACAATGTACCAGTTTTAATAAATGTTTATTAACTGACTGCCTGAATAGTCCTCTGTCCCTCCTGAAACTACCTTGTATTTATTAATCTATGTGCATATAATCTCCTCTCCTACACCCCAGAAGACCCTTGCACATAGCTGAAACATTTTTTGTTTGTTTATTGAATCAAACTGAATGTGGTCTGGCCAGCACCAAGAGGCCCTCCCCTTCTTTCTCCTGGATATTCTCCTTTTATCAATATAACCCAAGCTCACTCTAGCTCTTGGAGTATCTACCTTACTCTGAAAATTCACACCGAGGTTGCTGTGCCCTAAATTCCCCACCCTCTTTTTCATATGAAATGCCTTGAAGCTACATCTTGCTCCAACCTGCACTCATACAGTTGATTTCTGGAACCCAAATGAAAGATTTTACATTTAGATCTATTCATTTTCATTTGGCTTGATTCAACCCCTTGTTCCAGTCTGTCAAGATATTTACAGATCTTGGTTCTGTCATCCAAAGAGTTGGCATACCCGCCCCACTTTATGTCATCTGCAAACCTGATAAGCCTGCCGTTTATATCTTGGTCCAAGTCACTGATAAAAATCGGGGCCAGGACGGGGAACTACTGGAAATTATAGCCTATGGCTCAGCAGAGCTCAAAAGGACAGGAATTTTAGGTCTCCTTTCTGAACCGGAATAATTCTGAGTGGCAGCGGGGGAACACAAGATTGGGTGTCAGAAGACCTGAATTTAAGTTCTGATTCTGTCACATGCTGGCAGCATGACTCTAAGCAAGTCAATTAACTTCTCTCAGCCTCAATTATCTCTTCTGCAAAATGGGGATAAAAATATTTGGGCTATCCAGCTCAGAAGGCTATTGTGAAGAAAGCATTTTGTAAACTAAAGCACTAAAAGATAGAAGCTATTCATTATTTCCTATAATCTCCTCTATGGCCTTTCCTTCACCTGGTTGGTGCATTATTAGTATCTGCTGGTATCTCCATCGCCAATAGAGATTACCAAAGTGAGGCCAAAAAAAAAAATTAAAGGATAGGGAAGAAAGATGAATCACCTGGCCATTTTTCCTAATTCTTAAGTTACTTCTTCTCCTCATGGCTTTATCATTCAGCCTGAAGTATCCTAATTTCCCAGATCAGACTTGAAAACATGAAAAGACTTCATGATTTCTCAATGTAAGGAACTTTCAGATTAAGAACTCCCTCCCCCAATTCAGATTGTAAGGCAATTAGGGCTTAGTAAAGAAGGCTTAGTATCACCATTGAAATTAAGGTAAACTGAGGCACAAAGTTCTGAACATGTTCAATTTATTGCTAAGGCTAGCAGTTAGCAATAAAATGTTTTTTTTTCAGCTTCTCAGTCAGCCAGAAGACCAGGAGGTGGGGCTTACTAGCCTTCGCATAGTTTTGGGAAGTACAAGAGAACAAAGAACAGGATGCATCACAGATGGAAAACAATATGATTGGTTCCAAAGTCTGAATTGTCATAGATGATGAAGAAAAATACAACTAGATAGAGGTGTAGAATACAGGGCTAGCAACCCCTCCTTCCATCTTGTTTCTATGGAAAGAAAGCTCATTGGTGGTGTCCACCTGTATGGCTAGTTAGTGCCACAGAGATAAGAGACCAGACTTTCTTGAAGAACAGTCAGTGTTGCAGAGATAACAGACCAGACTGCCTGGTATCCACCTGCACCTCTAAGGATAAAAGATTTCTTCTAATTGTGCAAGGGCAGCTCGTGGTACAAAAATAAGTTTTCTCTCGATTAAAGTGATTTATGGGGAAGCTTAACTTTTAAACTTAACTCAGAAAGGAAAATTGAGCTTCTGGACTCATGAACTTCTGAACTTAACTCAGAAAGAGAAACATGGCTTAGGCAGTTGCGGAACAGAATAAATTACAGAATGGAATCAAATATAAAATACTAAATCAATATTTGATTTTCTTATGAGGGAATAGTGGAAAGAGTGTTGAACTTGGAAGTCACAAGATCTGAGCTTGAATTCTAGTTTTACTTACTACCTGTGTAAATTTGGCCAAGTCACCTAACCTCTCTAGACCTCAATTTCCTCATCTGTAAATTGAAGGGGTTGATTTAGATAAACTATGAAGTCCTGTCTGAGCTCCAGATCTATGATCCTTTGACAAACATATAAAGTGACTTTTCTGCTAATTAATATACATGGTAGATAGAAGGCAAGTCATTGTCATCATCATCAAAACTGATGCATTACCTCATTAAATTCTCACAACAAATCCCTGTGAAGCATAGACTAGAGGTAATATTTATACCATTTTACAGATGAGGAAACTGAGGTTCATAGAGTTTAGGTGGCTTGCCTATGATTATACATCTAGCAAGCATCACAGGCAGGATTTGAACCAGTCTTTACTAATTCTAAGTCCAATGTTTTTCCTACTATGCAACATTGCCTCCAGCTCAGACGCATATATATGAGAAATGATTTTTTTTGTGATGTCTTTGCCACTGTTGTTTGTCAAAACTATGTATAATTGAAAACTGAAAGTCATCTCCTGACCTTCTAGATCCCCTGTTTGACTTTTAACCCAAGGATAACAGCATGATTAGCAAAGACATCAGCAAACCTTTTGCCAACAAAATGTCATGGAAATTACCATGGTACACCTGGTATGCACACTTACCTCGGCAAAAATCCATGAGAATTAGAACTTCCCACACGTCGCCACTACTCACATTGTTGATACTAGAATCAATGTAGCCAACGATGTTCTTGTGTCCTGATAGGTCCCTCTGAAAACATGACAAATACATGTTAGGCACTTTTCTCTTAAAGGGAGAGTCTAAGATCAAAAAGTCTTCCTAAAGCCCAGGTCTGACCATTCCATTCCAATTAAAAATCTTCAGTAGCTCCTATTGTCTTTAGGATAGAAGGTGACATTTAATGCCTTTCACAAGCTGAGTCTAAGAACCATCCCAGACTTATTTCACATTAGACTCTCCTCATATAACCCTCTGTTCCAGCAAAACTAGCTCCCACTTCCTTAGAGGTAATTCCATCTCTCTCCATGGCAATCTTTGCACAGATTACCCCACCCCCACCTGCCATGCCTGGAAAATGTTCATTCTAGAAGCTTTCCCTCTCTTCAATGGTCAACTGAGGTACTGAAGTATGCCTAGTTCAGTGCTCTCCACTTCCTCAAATTTTATTTATTTGCCTGTATCATTCCTAAGACAATGTTAATTCCTTAAGAGCAAGGGCTTTTTTTAAAATTCATTTTGTCTATATCTCTAGCATACTGCCTTATATTTTGGGGGCTGGGGGAAGTGGTGAGGAGTTAGACCTGAGATTTCCTTAGTATAGGGACCTCCCAATGGGGAAATGCCTACTAACAAAGCAGATGGGCAGCTGTTCTAAAGCCTAGTGTTAAGTAACTTTCCCAGGGTCAAACAGTCAGTATATATCAAAGGTAGAACTGATACCTGGGGTCTCTATCTGCAATGACAATTTGTCACTCCATAAACAAGTTTATAACATATAAGGATAAGTTGAAGGAATTGGACAGACTTAGAGTGGAGAAAAGAAGATTTGGGGGAATATATGATATATCTACTCTATCCAAAAGTGGAATGACCTGCCCTGAGCAGTGATGGGTTTCTCCAACCTAGAATTCTTCAATCTATAAGCAAAAGCTGGTTGACTGCTTTTTGTGTATGTTACAGTGGAGATTCCTTTTATATATGGGTAGACTAGATGGCCAACTCTCAGAATCTGTGCTTCTGAGTCAGAAGAAGAAGGTGACTTCAAAATGCGTGTGTGAGGGGTAGAAGAAAGGCTTCATCAGAGAGGCAGCAGCTTTGGGAAGCTCCAAAAGCACCAGGTTTCTCAAGCTAATAGGAATTTCATTTAAATTCTTGAGCATCTTCTGTTCCCTGGAGTCAAATAAAATAAGTCTGATCTCTTCTCCCCATCACAGCCCTTCAAATATCTGAAGATAGCTATCCCTTATTCCCCCCAATTTTCTTTTTTCAGGCTAAATCTGTCTAGTTCCTTCCACTTTATCCTTACATGTCATAAACTTGTTGTTTATGGAGAGACAAAATGACACTGCAGATACATCTCCACTTGTTGTTGTGGTTAATAGGCATTTGTTCAATAGACAATTGCCAATAGCAAAACTTGAACTCAGGTCCCCGACATTAAGATAACCTCTATCGATATACGAAGCTGCCCTCTGCCTTTGCAAAACAGCAGATGCTTAATAAATGCTCATGAATCGAAACAAAATTCCCCTCAGCTTGAGGAACTTCACGCTCTCAGAGCTAACCTAAACAGCTACCTCTCATGAAGTCTATCTTCTTCTAGCTCTCTCTTCACAAACTCAGTAGACAGTCATTTTCTCCTCCAACCTCAGAATCACAGATTCCGAGAGCTGGCCACCTAGTCCCCTCCATACACAAAAGGAATCTCCACTGTAACATGCACAAAAAGCAGTTGACCAGCCTTTGCTTGAAAACTTCTACACTGGAGGAACCCATCACTGCTCAAGGCCAATCATTCCACTTTTCAACAGCACTAATTGTTACTAGGTTTTTCTAGATATCAAGCCTAAATTTGCTTCTTTGCAACTTCCACTCAAGGCTCCTGCTTCTGTTCCCTTATGCCAAACAGAACAAGTCTGATCCCTTCTCCCATGAACCCATGACAGCCCTTCAAATATCTGAAGACAGCTATCTTACATTCCCCCAAATCTTCTTTTCTCCAGGCTATATCTGTCCAATTCCTTCAATTTATATATCATAACTCAAGGTTCTTCTCATTCTGAATGTCTTCCTCTGGAAACACTCCAGTTTCTCAATGTCCTTTCTAAACTGTAGTGCCTAGAAATGAATACAATATTCCAAATGAGGTCTGACAAGGAGAGGCTACTGTCTGACTGTCATCACCCTCTGCCTGGAAGCTGTAGCCCTCTTAATGCAGCCAACGGTTGCTGTATCACACTTCAAACTCCTATTGAACTTTCAAGTCCACTAGAACACCCAGATATTTTTCAGAATTGCTATCAAATCCTGTTGCTCTCATCTAATACTTATGAAGTTGATTTTGTTGTACCCAGGTGCAAGAATATTTACAGTGATCCCTATTGAATTTCATCTTATTAAATTCAGCCCAAACTCTCTGTCAGTATCCTTTTGGAGAATGAAAAGAAATGGTTGGTTAGGTACAGGGGGATAAGTAGAAAGTAGTATCATGAAAGTCAAAGAAAGAGAACATAAAGAAAAGAAGTAAAGGGGTAGAGGTGGAGGAGTGCCCAAAATGTGAAAACTACATAAAGGTTGAGTAGATCTGAGAAAAGGCCACTGAATTTAGCAGTTATAAGAAATCTAGTAACTTTGTTTAGAGGTTTCCATAGGGTGGTAGGGTCATAAGCTTATGTATAAGGAGTTGGAAAGTGAGTAGGGAGGTAAGGAAGAGAAGCCAGCTGGTCAGTGAAGACCCATGTATTAAGTCCTTACTATGAGTCAGATACTGCACTAAATTGAAGGTACCAAGAAAGGTAAAAACAATACTTGTCCTCAAGGAGGGTACATTCTAATGGACAAGTTTTTCCAGGAGTTGGGCAGTAAAAGGGAAGAAAGATCTAGAACACAGCTTAGTAGTGTCAAATGAAGGATTTTTAAGGACCTATTGGAAAGAAGTAATTGAAGAAGAGAATGAGGGAAAAACTGCTTGGGCAAGAGCCAGGAGGAAGAGAAGTAAGAGTAGTTAGCATTTATATAGCAACTTAAAGTTTGCAAAGTGGTAAACAAATATTATTTCATTTGATTGTCATAATAATCCTGGAAGGTAGGTGTTATTATGCCCATTTTATAGATGAGGAAACACCTAGGATCATATGGCCATTACATGCCTAAGGTCCAACACACTATCCATTGCACCACCTAACTGCAATGGGATATGAAAGGCACAAGTAGACATATTAACTACCATCCTTGGCAAGAAAGGCCTTATCTTCCTCTAAGTCTAAAGCAAAAGAGGTGAGGATCTCTACGTTTGTTTGTTTGTTTTTTTGTTTTTGAGGTGTGGAGAAAAAGACGTAAGGAAGCTGATGACAGATGACATGCAAAAGAGCTTCTTATCTGCTGAGAAAGAAGCTAGGGGTCTTGAAAGAGACAGAGGTGAAAGTCTGGAAAGCCACTGTGGAAATTGTGATAGTCAAGGAAAAATAAAGATAGCCTTGTTAGAGTGAAGACCCAGTTGAGATTAGATATCATGACTTTGTAACTGATCCAAACAGGGAGAAGCCATGGCTTCCCCCACTGGTATGTAGCTTTAGAGAAGAACGAGCAGAGAGAGCAGATTGTGGTGGTGACCCTGGGTGAAAGATTGGCAAGGAATTAGCAACAGGACAAAGGATCCAATGGTGAACAGTATATAGTTGGACTGATCTAATAGAAGGTAAACACAGAGAAGGCATGATGGATTGAGACCACAGGGAGGCATGGAGGGACTGGAGGTTATCGTGAGGATAAAGAACAGGTTTATCAGAAGTGAGGCAAGGGCAGGCTATGATTGGAAAGGAGAATTTTAGCATCAGCAGCCATGGAAGTGATATAATTAGAAGTAATGATGAAATCTTTGGTAAAGGCACTCTTGTTGGTGACCAAGGTGGAATGAAGATAGGGAAATGGAAATTGAAGAAATTAATGAATTTGCAGATCTGGGTTCTGGAGGGGAAATCAACATACATATATACAATTCCTCAACTGTAAATAAAGATGAAGAGGGAGACAAGGAAACAAGAAGGAACTTTGCTGGTTGATGTTGAAAGATGGAGTGAACCTCAGATGAAAGGCTGCAGAGCAAATAGCAACAGAAGATACTTGCTCCTGGACAAGTGTGACAGCACCATGAGAGAGGGAATAACTCCTACTGGAGAGGATGGCCAGGGATGCAGTGTCCTCTGGAGAAAGCCAAAACTTAGAAGATCATCTCTAGTGGAGTGTCCCAGAGATCTGACCTTGGCCTTGGACTAGCCAACTTTTATCAATGACTTGGATGAAGCCACAGAAGACTGACTTACTAAATTGCAGATGGAATGAAATAGATATAGATAGATAGATAGATAGATAGATAGATAGATAGATAGATAGATAGATGGAGAGATCTATAACACAATGGATGATAGTAACAGAGGATCTTTTCAAAGAGATCAACAAAACAGGATGATGGGTTGAAGAGAATGAGATGATATTTAATAGGAGCAAAGGTAACGTTCATAGAATCAGATTCAAAGTAGGAAAGGACCTTTGAGGTCATCTAAAATTCAACTCCCCCATTTTATAGAAGAGGAAACTGAGGCTCAGAAGTTAAGTAAGTAGTCCATAGTCACACAGCTAGTATATGTTAGAGGCAGAATTTGAAACAGGTCTTTCTGACTCCAAGTGCAGCACTATATCTGTTAGACCAACCTGCCTCTCAGTTCTACACTTGGGTTTAAGAAATCAACTTCCTAAGTACAAGATGGAGAGATCCTGGTTAGATAACATTTTCTGTGGGGGAAAAAAAATCTAGGGGCTTTAGTGGTCTGCAACTCAATAAGTCAATAGCCAAAAAAGCGAATACTATCCTGGATTGTGGCAAGAAAGGCATAGCTTCCAGTAATAAGAGCTGATAATCTCATTGTACTCTGCCCTGGTAAGAGCCCATCTGGAGTATCATGTTCAGTTCTGATACAACATTTCAGGAAAGACATACACGAAGTATAGTGCATCCAAAAAGGGGTAACCAA